CCATTTCTTCAATGCTACTTCCCTGCTCATCATCTGGCACATACATTTATGTATCGACACTGGCCATCTGCTGGAGCTTGTTCCGCCGGAAGTTGTGATCTTTTTCTCTAAAAAGAGATTTTAACCTTCCTGCCTTGGATGCTAAACTGGCCAGATCTTAAACATCATGAGCTGTTAAACCCTTCCGTGGTCGGGTATGCATATCCTGACCGCCAAATTGATCATCTCGCTCTCCTCAATGACTGTCGGGCAACGTCCTTTCATTAGTCATATCCGTTCTATGAATTGGTAGGCGGTCTCCTTCGGCATTTTCCGGATCTCCAAGAGATCTATGAGTGAGACCGTCGGGAGAGGTTTAAAGAACCTTGCATGAAAAGCTGCCCCCAAACATTCCCACATTTGCAACTGTCATGGCGGGAGATTGGCAAACCAGGAAAAAGCTGATCTTGTGAGAGATAATCCAAACAACTGTAATTTGTGAAACGGATTATTGTCCATTTCCCCCAATTGAGCCGTGAAGCGTCCCACGTGCTCAATGGTTGAGGCTCCATCTTCTCCTGAAAAAGAATAAAAATCTGGTGCCCTATAATTTCTCGGGAGAGGATGCTCATTGATGATTCTCTCTGGAAATGGCCTATGGTACGCCGGTCTGTTCACCGTTTGCGGGTTCATTCCGAAATGCACCCGCAAAACTTGAGCGATGTCCTCTGTCACCCAGTGGAACATTATTTGGGTATGTTAGAGGATTTTTCCCCCTGTCAACCCTAGTATTAGCACTAGGGAAAGTGCTATCCACGTGGAAACGCCCCGCAAAGTTTGCTTGTAACCTGGATGGTGACATCCCTGGTGGGGACTAAGTGGGTTGAAGAGTAACCCTTGATAGAGCTTGGTCTAACATATATTTCATTAGGTTTTGTTGCTCACGCAACATGTTCTGCATAGCCAAAGTTTGCTGATTGTTCAATTGTTGAACATAAGACACCCAATCTGCAGGTGCCTGTGGTACTTCCCTAGCATTTGGCATGGCGGGTGGTGAAATTGTTTCCCCCACCGGTGTTGAAGATACTTGGGGCTGTGAGCCTGCCATATGGATCCTTCCGGTGATTCGGCCGGACCTCAGTCGTATAAAATTCTCTCTTGACGTAGGATTAGCAATCTTGCCTTTCTCCCACTGTGGTCACCAAATTGTTGATGTCGATTTTCAACAATAAAAAGTAAAATCCGAAAATAGAAATTATCTTCGAATTTGATAAAATAAATGCCTGAGATTAAAAATCCCTGGACATTGTACGATACATCAATAAAATAAAAAAAATAAATGCTACAGACTGTAAAAGTAAAATGGTGATCCCCAAAAGCAATTCACTGAATTTTATGTCGATTGAAGATGGTTTCTTTAGTTCGTGAAAAGATATATTTAAAACTCATATCAACCGCCATGTTTAGGTCGTGCCCCCAACTCCGCTCGCTAGTTATAACTTCTTCTAACCACCTTAAAATTGCCTTTCGCCCGACCTGCATATCCACTGCTAGGTCTCTTTTTTGTCCGCCTGCCACTTTGCCCGACATCCGTATCGGCTGTCTCATTTTTGCGCGACCTTCTTTTGCCCGACCTGAGCGCATACTGTTTTCCCCTCTTCGTCCGTTCCCTCCTTGCCCGACCTCTCAATCACAGTTTCTCCCGAGGAAACCCATCTTTTAATAATGCTTAGGCCCATTTCTAAGGTCCTACCACTATCGACAGGCCCATTTAGACTCTACAGCAATCCTTAGTCCAATTTTCTAAGCCCATTCTTGAAAACTCTACACATTGGTTTTTCTCACTCAAAAATTATATATGTTGAATCCCTACAAGTCAACAACAACACAAAGCTTACACACGGTACATCATAATCCAAAACTATTCTCAACATGTGATATAATGTCAATGGCTACAATAAATCAGATAAATATTTCCCGAATGAATCATTCAATCAAAAAAAAAAAAAAAAGAAAATCACTCAAAACTTGCTCACCTCCAGTCATTTTCTTTCAACTGTGGAGTCTCCAGAAACATGTCTCCGCAGGCATCTCTGAGGACAGGCTCCATTTCGAGGTTGTCCTTACCCCTACTCCATTTGTCCCATTTCTTTCTTATATTATGAGGCATGGTCTGCCTCTTTGAGCTAGCCGGTCACGATCAACCGGTAAGTATAAACCTTCCTCGTCTGCCTCGGCCAGAACACCCTCCCCATTGCCTGCCGGGTCAGGTGAAAGTTCCTCAGATTATCTTGCTTAGTATGATTTTCTTTCATTATTTATTTAGGTTTCAACTCAAATTAAGCATACCCACAATTAGAGTGACTACATATTTTGAGAATTTTCTATAATATTGACTTTTTACAAAAAATAAAAAAAAGTTTTTAAACTACCAATTTTATTTTATTGTTTTTTTCCAATTTAAATTATCGATTTGTCTATTGCGAAGAGTGGCAATGACTTTGGATAAATGCAACAACAACGGTATCATATTCAACACAACATATGCTACTAGTAACAGTTGATGATAGACTTTCAATTACAAAGCCGGCAGTTGTAACAAACGAAATGCGAGAAGCCCCCACAAGAGAAATGTCCGCGCCACATGCCTGATTGAACTAAACAAGACTCAAGCTTCCGGGGACTGATTGAATTGTTCCATCATAGACTCTCGAGCATCTGTGCCGGAGTTGCTTGTAATCATGAACATCTCGCGGCCAGCGCTGTATCCCTTCATTTTACCGGTAAGTATCTTCAGAAATTTCAAGGGCAACAGAAAGGTACCAAAGACAATCAGCTTCTTTCTGGTGGATTTTCAGAGTTGGAGAAGATTTAGATAGAAGCTAAGCTTCGCCCCATCGTGAATGTCAAGCTTCTCAAATAGTGTATGAATTTTCCCCTTGTCCACTTGTCTCTTCTGCCGGAGTTGTTGGCGAGCTTCTTCAGGTTTGGGTGCACATAAATGGGACTTCCGAGTGCATCAATTGTGAACCTGTTCTGCAAACGTTTTAGTGCCTCAACTTCTGATTGTTGTGCAGGAGTGAGCTTAAGGAATATGGAAAAATCTACAAGTCTTGGAAGCTCACAACCAAGGTAGACCCCTTGCAGCAGTCAGGACCTTTTTCGTCATCTCGCGCAAATCTCATATCAGATCACATGCTAATTAGATTGTGTTAAATAGGAGTTTTTCTTCAAATACTTGATATGTATTCGAATTTGGCTTATATTTTTGCACGTTGGTTGATCTTGTTTATAGCTAATTTGGTTGAAATTCATATCTAGTAGCTTGATGTTTATTTTTATATCAATGAATAGAGCTCAAATAAGCTTTTGTTTATCAAATTCAAATCTATTAATGAGTTAGAATACAAGAATAGTGGCTCTTATATCTACTCACATTGCTTTCTATTCGTATCTTATTATTTTCAGTGAAGAATATGAGCTATATTAGTTTAAATGGGTACTGTGAGAATAAAATCTACCGTGAAACCGAGTCGAGGATGGATCCTCTTTCCGAAAATTAGATACGCCCCGCCAACCCGGTAGTGCCTCCGGTGGCTGGCGTTCTAACCTAAAGATAAAACGGTTTTCATCTCCAATGAGAGTGGCACCTCTAATCGCAAGTGAGAGAGAAACTGGGCTGGGGAGGTTGCCGGAAACCTAAAAGAGATGAGAGAAGGATGAGAGAATTGTTGGTGTGTTTAAAATGAAGGGGGGAGGCCCTTTATATAGGCGTCTCAACTCGGCCAAAATGGCAGAGGACCAATTACGATCATAATTACAACCTTAATTACGGATGTAATTTATTCTAGATTTAGACTTTCCGTTTGAAGCGGTCGTAATTGATTCAAATAACAAACTTTTCATTTGTGGGGATCATAATTTATTCTAATTTCAAACCTTCCATTTGAAACGATTGTAATTTATTCTAATTTGAAATCTTCCGTTTGAGATTATAATAAATCCATCCAACAGATAATATTTTATCCAAATAATACTAAGACTTAGGCCATATACTTGGGTTTAATTTAGGGCTGCACAATTTGGCTTGTCTTGAGACAGGCAAAATAGCCAAAATATTAACCAAACCCCATGTACAATAAATAAATAATATTTATTTATTTCTTCCAAATTAATCTAATTAATTTTGGTGCATTGGCCCATCATATTTTCACTAACCGATTAATCGATTGCAATCCAACAATCCCCCACATGAGTGGAAATGCCCATATAGGACAGAAGCCCAGCTCAATCCCTGTGAGACATTGACACATTAGGACAGTTACTTTTTGGCTTTGAACCTTCCATAGTCAACATTACAAAGTGTATTGGTGGCCCAATTGACGTGATGCATTGAACTATTCCACCTCTGCGTGCACTTAGTAAATAATATTGACGTGTCGCTATCTTAGTCTCAACTTTGTTCTTACGTTTTGATCCATTTTGGCCATGGATCTCGTCATTGGATTCATAAGTATTTCGTTTGAAACAGCCCACACTTCACACTTGTATAGGTAATCATATCTCAAAAGTATCTAACTTACATCTTTAGGATCATTAAGAGTCATTGACTCAACCTCACCACTTTTGCACATTATAACACTCATTGTTTTTCAGGAAATTGTAATTGAGTGCTCATGCCGGACTCTCACAGCTTAGTTTTCCCATTGAACCAAGGATTGGGATTTCCAAGTGATTTGGTTGGGTTACCGCTATAATTGTCTCTATCTTGTGGATTTCAAACCCATTCCCTTTAGCAGTCTGTACATTTTATCTCTCTACAACCCATTGATTAGTGGATGTACTAGGTTTTCTATTGATTTTGCATATTCAATAGTCAAAACTCCACTAGTGATCAAATGCCTTACAGTGTTATATCTACGTCGGATATGTCGGGATTTACCGCTGTACATTCCATTCTTAGCCCTTGCTATTGAAGCTTGGCTATCGCAGAGAATGATTATGGGAGGTACTTGTTTAGTCTAATATGGAATATCATCCATGAAGTTCCTCAGCCATTCGGCTTCTTCGCCAGCTTTGTCCAAGGCGATGAACTCCGATTCCATTGTGAACCGTGCAATGCACATCTGTTTGGTAGATTTCCACGAAACAACTCCTCCTTCAATCATAAATACATATCCATTTATAGACAGTGAGTCTTTTGCATCAGATATCCAATCGGCATCGCAGTACCCTTCGAGTACTGATGGATATTTAAGGTAGTGTATGCCAAAATTTAGAGTAAATTTAAGATAACTTAATACTCTTACTAGCGCTTTCCAGTGTTCATGACTGAGGTTGCTAGTGTATCAACTCAGCTTGTTTACAGGGCAAGCCAGGACTGGCCTTGTACAATTTATTAGGTACATTAGGCTTAAAAAAATTTTGGCATAGTCTTCTTGAGCTATGAGGTCTCCCCTATTCTTGCTTAAGTGTACGCTGAGGTCCATTGGGGTTTTCATTGGAGTGTTGTCATAGGCATTGAATTTTCACAATATCTTTTTCACATAGTGGGACTGAGTCAGAACAATACCTTCGTCTTGTCTTAGAATCTTCATTCCAAGGATGACGTCGGCTAGCCCCAAATCTTTCATTTCAAAGTTATGACTCAACATGCATTTGACCTCATTAATCAGACTGACCTCTTTAGCCATGATCAGTAAGCGTCTACATATAGATATATTATGATAAAACCGGAAGGTGTTTCTTTAATGTAGACACACTCGTCAAACTCTTTTATTTTAATACCATTTGATAACATGACATTATCAAATCTTAAGTGTCATTGTAAAGTTGCTTGTTTCAGTCTGTACAAAGACTATGTGTTTGCACACCTTTTTCTCTAGGCTAGGAATGACATATCCTTTCGGTTGTTCCATATATACCTCTTCTTCTAATTCATCATTTAGAAAAGCATTCTTCACATTCATTTGGTGAATCTCAAGACTGTTCAAAGACGTAATCGAAAGAAGCACTCGAATGGATGTTATCCTAGTTACTAGTGAATATGTGTCGAAGAAGTCAAACCCATCGATTTGTCTGTAGCCTTTTACTACAAGATGGGCTTTGTATTTATCAATAGATCCATCATCCTTGAGTTTTCTTTTTAATACCCATTTGTACCCTAGTGGTTTACAGCCTTAGGGTAGGTCAGATAACACCCAAGTATTATTCTGCATTATTGAGTCTATTTCACTGTCTATTGCTTCCTTCTAGAAGGGAGCATTAGGACTAGATACTGCTTCCTTGATCGTTGTTGGATCATTGTCCAACATATACGTAATAAAATATGGACCAAAGGTTTTCTCGACCCTTGTCCTTTTGCTACGCCTAGGTTCTGAAACCTCTTGATCAGGGCTACCAACCGATTGTCTCTTTATGCCCCGTAGTTCTTCATCTACAGGTTTTTGGTTGGATTGTATCCTTTCCTTACAAGAATAGACATTTTCAAAGAATATGGCATTCCTTGATTCTATCGTAGTTTCTTTGGTCATCCCAAGCATATCCGATTTGTGAACTACGAAACGATAAGTACTACTATTTAGTGCGTATCCGATGAATGTGCAATCTACTAGTTTTGGGCCGATAGATACTTGCTTTGGAGGCGGAACTTCCACTTTTGCTAGACACCCCCACACTTTGAGGTATTTGTATATGGGTTTCTTACATTTCACCTTGTCCTTAAGTGGAATATTGTTCAGGATATCATTTTCAGTTAGTAATGCCTCCCCCCAAATTTTTGGGGAAGTCCTGAACTTATCAATAAGGAATTCATCATTTCCTTAAGTGTTCGATTTTTGCATTCTGCAACGCCGTTCGATTGCGGTGAATATGGATTCATTGTCTGATGAATTATGCTATTTTCGTTACATAATTCTTTGAATGGAGCCACATATTTCCCACCTCTATCACTTCGAACTGTCTTGATTTTACAGTCAAGTTAATTTTTTGCCTCGGTTTTGAAGTTCTTGAAGGCCTCGATTGCTTCGTTCTTTTCCCTTAATAGGTAAATATAGCAATAATTTGTCCAGTCATCGATAAAGGTGATGAAATATTTCTTTCTACATCTAGTTTGCACAAATTTTAAATCACATACATCAGTGTGAATTAACTTTAATGGCTTAGTCTTCCTTTCGACAGACGAGAAGGGTAATTTTGCCATTTTGGCCTCTACGCAAACTTCACATTTGTTTTGACTGTTCACCTCTTTTATATTTATTAAATTCATATTTACTAATCGTTTTATAGCATTTATATTTACATGACAAAATCTACAATGTCATAAATCAGAACACTCGATAAAGTACGAAGAAGAAGCAACAATTTTATTATCAGTAGGTGGTGCTCGGCACACGGCCATTACATTGAATTTGAACAACCCTTGTAAGATAATCCCTAGCTAGGAATATCTCAATTTTCGATAATATAAATTTATTTACTACAAAGACAAGTTTAAAACCATGCCTAACTAGCAGCGATCCTGAGACGAGATTTTTTCGAATGTCTGGCAGATGCAGGACATCCTTAAGGGTTAGTTCTTTGCCAGAGGTCATCTTCAGCACCACGTTCCCTACGCCTTGGACCTCAGAAGTTGCATGATTTCCTATGTGCAGCTTCATCCCTTCGGCCTCCTTATAGGTCGAGAAGTTTGTTTTGTCGGAGGAAACATGGTAGGTTGCTCCGGTGTCAATGTACCAAGCTCTTGGACTTTCCACATTATTTTTTTTGTACACAACAACGACAAGGTCATCACTATTAAGGTCACGATCAGTCCGGTGGCTCGTCTCGACCAGTTGGGAACTCGGCTTTTTCTTTTTAGGTGTCTTGCACTGCTTAACCTGGTGCCCTATTTTACCACAATTAAAATATTTACCTATAAACTTGGACTGTTTGGCTTTTCCCTTGTCCGTTTGAGTTGCACGTGCACCTTTTTGGAGAGATCTTCGACCAAGTTGGCTTTAGCAATATCTCCGCTCTTAGCCTTGTTCTGCTTTCTGTTGTCTTTCTCTATCCGGATTCGGACCAATCAGATCTTCAAGCACCACTTGCTTTAGCTCATGCTTCAGCCCGTGCTTAAAGTTGCTCCAACTCGGGGGCAATTTCTCAATCATCACACTCGTGATGAACTTTTTTGGTAGTGGCATCTCCTCTTCGATAACAGAGTGAACAATGTCTTTAAATTCTTCCACTTGTTCGAAGACAGACTTGCCATCTACCATCTTATAGTCCATAAACCGGGCCACACCAAACATTTTAGACACGGCATTCTTGGACTTTATATTTTTTCTCAAAGGCATCCCACAACTCTTTTGCACTCTTTATTTTACAATATACATTATAAAGAGAGTTAAAGAGACTACCTAGTATGATATTTCTTGTCATGTAGTCTCCATGTGCCCACGATGCATAATTCGCATACGTCTGCTGGTCCACACCGGGCTCTGGGTTAGTTGGGCCATTGTACAACACGAGCATGGCAAACGCAAGTACAGTCAAGTAGAAGAGCATCTTCTTATGCCACCTCTTAAAGTCCACTTCAGTGAATGGTTGTGGAACATGTACATGGGGCATTATCCGTGGGCCAAGCCCAGGAGCAACAGTTTGGGCCGCGAAAATAGCAGAGGATACGGCCATAAACCCAGAAAAGCCCCCACATCCCCCTGGGGCAAATTAGGAAACATAGGGATACCCATAAAGGGAACTGGCCCAAGTGGAGGAGCGACAACCTTGACTGTGGCTCCGGCGACTCCGGAGTTAGCTCTAGCGGCTCCGGTGGTGGCTCCGGCGACTCCGGTGACTCCTCCGGTGGCGGTTCCGGCAAATCCTCCGGTGGTGTCAACGGTGGCTCCGGCGGAGACTTCGTCAGGGGTTGACATTCTCGCAAAATAGTATCTATTTTTTTATTTTTTAGTTTAAATGGGTATTGCTAGAATAAATCTACTGGAAAATCGAGTCGAGAATGGATCCTCTTTCCAAAAATTAGATACGTCCTGGTAGTGCCTCTGGTGGCTGGCGTTCTAACCCAAAGATAAAATCTTTTCCATCTCCAATGAGAGTGGCACCTCTGATTGTTGGAGCTCCGGCGAACAAAGCGAGAGAGGAACTGAGCTAGGGAGGTTTCCGGAAAGCTAGAATAGAGGAGAGGATGAGAGAGTTGTTGATGTGTTTAGAGTGAAGTGGGGAGACCCTTTATATAGGCGTCTCCACTCAGCCAAAATAGCAGGTGATCAATTACGATCATAATTACGACCTTAATTACCGATGTAATTTACTCTAAATTCAAACATTCTATTTGAAATGGTCGCAAATGATTCTAATATCAAACTTTGCGTTTGTGATGATCGTAATTTATTCTAATTTCAAACCTTCTGTTTGAAACGATTGTAATTTATTTTAATTTCAAACATTCCGTTTGAGATTATAATAAATTCATCCAATGGATAATATTTTATCCATATAATACTGCGACTTAGGCCATATACCCAAGTTTAATCTATGGCTGCACAATTTGGTTTGTCTTCAGACAGACAAAATAGCCAAAATATTAACCAAACCCCATGTACAATAAATAAATAAAATTTATTTTAGATTAATTTGGTAGACCGACCTATCACATTTTCACACACCAAATAATCGGTTGCATAAATAACCGATTATCCAATAAGTTATGCTTTCTCTATTCATTTTCAATAATAGTTAGAATGAAAAATTGAATTTATATTTGAGATATATATTATTTTTGATATCATTATTAAAAAATTAATTATATTGATAACAAAATAATTTTATACTAAATATATATATATATAAAAGTAAATACTTTTCTCCATCTACCAATTTTAGCACACTTTGTAAATTTTCAAAGAAATGAGACTAAGATTGGTGGATAGAAAATTATGAATTATGATTTTTTTTTAAATATTTTTGTGGCACCAACTTCAACGCCAATAATATTCTTTATTTATCTATGTGGTGTCGAATTCAGGTTCAAAAAAATAATATAATAAAAACCTATCATTTACTTCATCTCTTTATGTCATTGTGTTCTCATGCTCCATGTCTTCGTATTTCATTTTCTAGCTGAATCACAAAGAGCTGCAAAATGTGCTGAAAGTAAGTTATCATCTTTCAATTTTGTCGCTTAATGTTTTGGAATTTGACACAAAGTGTTTTTATTCTTACTTTTTTGGCATTTTACTCAAAAATTCAGTTTTTTGAAAAGCCCCGTTTTGAGTTCAACTCAACTAATTTGGTGAACCATGCTCCAAGCGCTTTAACATGGTGGAGGATCCGTATATTTATCTAAATCCAAAATAGAGCGCAAAGGATGCCGATAAGCCGAGTCAGGGGAACATGGTATTGTTGATGGACAGCAATGTCCTTATTACAAATGAGGCTGGAACGACTACGGCATTGCGGTGCAGGTGGCACGTGAGCATATTCTAACCCCTTGTGTACAGGCTCGACAATAAATTGTAGTTGGTCATGTACGGTCATTTCAGAATACTAGTAAAATAATTTAATAATCAATAAATTATATGAAACTCTTGAATCATTGATCAAAACATACTAAGACATTTTTTCCAATAATAATTGATAACAAATTATTGATTGAACAAAGAAACTCGATCTTTAGGAAATATTTTTGTATGAG